TTAAATTTTACATAACGGTTGAGCACCATTACGATCATTATCTAATTAATTGAGTGTGCTACTTGAGAACACCCTAATTTCCCTTTAATTCTATGACCCAAATCACCAACTTCACGCCTCTGGCGGGTTGCTTTATAGCATAAAGTCTATAATTTTATAGATTTTTGAATGTACGATTCACCCCGTAACAGTATTATTTATATGAAGAGATTTGCCATATAATGAAGAATCAAGAAATTTTGTAAAGAAGTTGTTAATGAAATTAAAAAGGAATGAAAAAATCGACAGGTCGATCTCTTATGATAGATAATTCATGCATAATCTTTTTTTGATCATTACCAATATATATCTATATTACGTCAAATATGCTTCATATAAATTAGAGATATAGTGCGTAAATGATGTACTCTGATAATCCGTAATATACCCTATAAAAAAGTTTGTACTGTTCGGAACGGAGACGAATTTCCGAATGCCAAGTACGATATTGTACAGTTTTTATACCGAGACGTAAAAAAAAAAAGTAATTTTTGGGTTGACAACATTGTACAAAATCAGTATATGTACAGAAATCGTCTCCATTTCAAACATTTTTTTGAATAAAAAGTAGAAAATTTTTAGAACATTGCCGACAAAATTTTTTTATAGGGATAGAGATTTAGAATTCTCATGAGCTTTAGATTTTTCAATCTTCTAATAAATAATTTCGAGAGTCTTATTCGTAAACCTTACCGTTTTTAACATTTAAAGTTAGATAGCTAATGATAATTTATTTAGTATTAAAATGTATTCATTCAAGATCTGTTACATAATATGAGTATGAATGCATATATGTATATCCGATAGCATGTATTTAAGGAAGGCCCAAAGACCTTGAACACTTCTCATAAATTCGTCCTTATAAATAAATAGTCTATCTAAATATTTTTCATGATGCTCTCCCAACTAAGTTAATACCGTAAAACCGCGAAATAATGCGCAGGGGTGAAATTACAAATTCCAGCCTAAATTAAGCTTAATGCGGGCCGAATCTCGAAATAACGCCCATTCCATGGTCGTTATTTCGCAGTTTAAGATCTCACCAATATTGATGACGTCATTGATATTTAAGTTTCTCCCTGGTGAATATCGATTCTCAATAGACGCGTACTATTTTTCAATCTCCACCGATTGAAAAATTAGATTTTTAATGTAGTTATAGTTATTATGATGATGACGTGATTTCATGTTTGAGTGCTTCCAAGAGAAAATCTGCAAATCTTATCTAATAAGATTTGCAGGTTTTTTCTTGGCGGCATTCATTTAAAATAATAAATTAAATTAAATTAAATAAATTTTATACCATTTTTTCATCAATAATAAACATGAAAGATATAACTTTTATAGTCGTGAGTCTTTTGATCGAATCTTGAAAATCCACGTTAACCAAGGGGAAAATAAACGCTGTTTAATGGATAAGAAATTCTTTTTCTTTTTTTTTAATTGTTACACGATTCCAAAAATTCCTCTAGCATTGCACGCATGTGATAGTTTTTATTTGGATGGATGCATCTGGCTAGCGCCAGATATTAAACTTTATTGCATGATCTTTATAAAATAAGCAGCACAGTGCAATTGATGTATAAACCGAGACGGGATATGCACCTAGAAAATAGCATATTTGCAGCCGTCATCGGTTGAATTTGCGATGCGTAGCATCAGTCAGTGGTTTTCACACCTGCACAAGGCAGGCCGACTTAGACAAGAAGTTTAAGTTACCACGAAATGACAGAATTCTACGTGGATTCGTGTGGGTGGATGCTTCAGGCGGAGATGGCTGCTAATTTCTTTACGGCGGCATCTTCTTTTATCTATTTCTGACAATGAAATATTGTTAGTGATTCCGTCATGATACTCAATTAAGCAGTTCATTAACTCCTTTTACTTATCTGGCTTCGCGTTTCTCTCACGCTACTTGATTGAATTCCTGATTAGGATTAACGGCTGCATTCAGGCTTGACCGGATTGCTCCCGGCTTAGCCATCTTTTCAATCTGTTGACTTACGTCAACTTGAAGTACGATTTTATACCAGACAATTCATCAGTTATATTAATCAACAGTCATATAAATGATGAAATTATATTATTAAGCAAGGTATAAGTTATACTGTATTTGAAATAATTTTTTTAAATAGATTTTAGATTAGGCCATATAAACTTAATTTTTTGGTTCTCATAACCCGGCCGGGTCATATTTTTTGAAAAAAATTTTTTGTTTTACAGCTGTTTTCATAAATTCCGAAACAACTGAAAAAATTGCCGATGACCGAATCGATAAGTTACCAAGTCGGAATCAATAAGTAACCGACTTCGGCCAAACTCAGAAACTTATCGATTCGGCCATTGGCATTTTATCAGTTGTTCCAGAATTTATGAAAACAGCTGTAATAGGCGGGTGGGATTTCAAAAAAAATTTTTATATATAGAATTTTTAAATAAAGTCCGGGCGGGCGGGTCATTTTTTTTGTCCCATGTTATGAGAACCAAAAAATTAACTTTGTATAGCCTTATATACATACAAGGTATTTTATACTTTGTTAATAATAATTGGTGCATGTAACAGATTTATCCAAAACAGTTATAAACATCATAGTCGTACTATAGCAATAAACAAGAAAAAAAATAAATAAATAAAAAATAGAATATGCGATTAATTTTTTAATACCGTTAGCATATTGCAAATGCCAGGCATGAATACTATGTTTATCTGGTACTTGTAAAACCCTATATTTATAAGTCCTAATATAAGTCCTAATATAAGCCCTAATATAAGCCCTAATATAAATCCGAATATTTATATTGTATTTAATAGTATATATATAATAATCAATAGAAATTAATTATTCTGTTTTAAATAAAGGCATAAATACTACACACTACACGTAAAACTATATATAGTTTAAAAAATAATTTAGCATGATCTCTATTTTCAAACAAATAATTAATTTTGTTGAAATTAAGGGTTTTATCACAAAATCCCGAAAGGAACTAATACTACCGGGGTAAATTCACCACCCAAATTTTTTTCAGATCACGTGAATAATATACATGTACTACATGTACTGTACGTACGAGTAATGGCAATTACTGAATTTTTTTAGCATTTTCGAACAACGAAATGAACGAAACAAATTAGTAAATACAACTATGTATGGTAATATATTATCTAATGTTATTTTTACATTGTCATTATTGCAACCAGAATGTATTATGATTGCGATTTTTCCATGTTTTTGGAACATGTCTTTGCCTTTTAAACTTATTACAATCCTCAACAAATTTACACATGGATTCGAAGTTTTTGTCTATATTATCAAGCCATTTATTTCCATTCGGGTTCATTGTGTTTTCTTCAAGAATTTTTTTTGCCGAATCCAATAACTCGAAAATTTCCTGCTTTCGCTTATGGAATCTTTCTTAATCATCAATATCAATGATATTTTTGTGACCGATAATATCATTTTCATTTATATCAGCAAATTCTTGCTCTTGCGCTTGACTTGAAGCTTCTTGATCATCATTATTAACATTTAATTCTTGAGTCTTAATATTGACGTTAAGACTTTGGATTGCGACATAAATATTTTTTGGTAATTCAGAAAAAGCATTTTCTTCTTTAATTTCAAGGAGGGGATATGATTCCTGTTGCATTATCTAATTGACGATTATTAAAATTAATTAATTGTATGCTGTACAGCATTTATATATAATAACAATGCCAATATTTTTTTTCTAAAAAAAAAAAATAATAATATCAAAAAATAAAACCCATATCAAATATTACTTTCTTAAAAAATCCAAATTCTACAGGATTACGTATTTGCACTAAGTGCTTACAAATATAAAACCAGTTTAGAAGAAAACTTGGACATGAGCAAATCCAACGTAATACGATTAAGATTATTAATAATTATTTTATTTGATAGTTTTTTCCATTCAACCCGGAATTCTTCACGCCACTTTGGCATACACCGTCCATTATGTAATAATTGCAATCGGTCAGCTTGACGAGGAATAACTTTAGAAACAATAATATAAATAATCAAGTCTAGCCATGCATTATTAAAGTTTGAAAAAAAATCGTGCTTTAAAACCCGCCAATGGCTTTCGATAGCCATAGTACTCCGTAATATATTAATTTTCGGACTTGCTGCATGTGCCCAGAGTTTCCACATTTCAGGGCAGTACCATTCTGTATACAAATATGCCCACACGTGAGCAAGATTATGTTGATAGCAATAATCGAATTGTTCTTTGACGCTAGCAACCCAAATTTTTTCAGTATTTAAAAATCCTAAATTTTCTATAGGAATCATTGGGTGTTTTGAAAAATGGATGCAAAACATTTGAAGAATATTTTCGTGAAAATTTTTTTGACAAAAAACTTTATTTTTGTTATTATCAACAAATGCATGAACGGGTTGCCAGCTTGGATTAATAAATGAACATAGTTTGTGCGCTTCATTTGCATTATAAGAATTATATGTAATCCCAGTACTTGATAGCTTTTTTTTAATAGCCCGTATCGCATGCCAATAACATAATTGGACTTTC